AGTAGTATCACCGTTACAGCAGTAGTTTGTCGTACGTTTTATTGTCCCTATTGCACATGCGCCCGATCAGCTGCCATGGACCCCAAACTGGAAATAGTGCCCCGTTTGTACACACTCTCGAGTGACATTGAACTACATTTGTGGCTTGCATGAATCCTACCCGTCGTTTCTGTTTTGGTGCACGCAAGTTGTTACCTCCCTCCAATCTCGTTCCTTGGCCACCGTGAATGGGTGCTCGACGTGCCTTGTGTCTTCGCTGACGTCCATTCTCACATCTGTTCATTTCAGAGCTGATCTGCACGGCCACTCTGTTTTTGCGAACGTCGAGTACAGCTGCCTTCTTTGACTGTCCTTTATATAAATCTCTACGTTGATCTCGAGTATCATAAAAACTGAGTTGTGGCACGTTTATAAACGATGCGGACAGACTTTCTCAAGAATTTGAATTTGAATTTGGCAAACTAGCACAAATGTCGTGGCACTCTAGGATGCTCTGTAAAATTTCAAACACAATAATTAAGAATGAAAAGTGATGCAGGATAAGCCACGCTGAAGTATGTGAGATATGAAGCTTTTAGAAATGGCCAATTGAATCAACCAAGCTGGCTTTTTGATATCAGTCTTCTGAGGACAACGCGCTCTTCTTCCAAACCTGTTCAGCTTACCGAGGATTATTAGTAACGCGGTTTTCACGGATGCATGCATTTGGAATCATTCACAGTGGCGTGTGACAACTGGCGAAACACAATCATTCACCAACTACCTTATTGTTACTTGGGAATTCAACTAAGGACCACGTTCAGGATGTTCTCCAACAAAATATGCTGAACACAGCAAGCCCCATGTTTTTTCCGGTACGATATTTGATACATCAAGTGGATAAGGCTATCGAAGAATTTCCTGCAATTCGTGAGGCACTTTGCTTCATCCTCGTAGTCTCACTCGAAGAGTTTATTTCGCGTCCGCTAGCAATCGCCTTGAATGTCCTGGGAGCTAACAGGATTGTTGCAGTGATTCAACCGAAAAATGTCAACAACCTTGAATAGTTATGTGAAAAGTAGCAAATGCGGTTAAGTCTTCCAAATGGTTGATTTGCGCAGACGTGTGCAACGGCAATGATCGCTCGAAAAAAAGTGCAACGTAAGTGAAGATGTAAATGATGAACGAGTAACTTTATTTGGATGTCGAAAGAGTGACTTACGGACCGAATATTGTTTACAACATACCGAAAACACTCTGTAGTCAAGTCTAGCCAAGTTAGCGAGCTACATGAGCTTGGGTTGAGACACTTTAAGTAGTCGGTAGACGTCTGGCTGGAGGGGACAAAGTACCACCTCTCACTGATGCTTGGATACATTTGTCGACAAAATTGACAAGTCCATCGACGAAGTGACCA